CTTCCTTCCTTCCTTCCTTCCTTCCTTCCTTCCTTCCTTCCTTCCTTTCTTTCTTTCTTTCTTTCTTTCTTGAGGTCCAGTTGGAAGTTTTCCTTAATTATTCAGGTGGAATTTGCTCTTTGAGGCATTAGCCAGCCTTGTAACATTACACAGCGGACTTCACAATCTTTTCTATATTAGTTTCCTTCCTAGAACTCAGGTTTTTTGGGTTCATTTCCTACCGAGCCAGGAAATTCGTTGGTCATAATGGTTTGTATCTTTTGGTGACCAATAATACCCAGCTACAATCAATTGGAAGGATAAACATGCAAAAGGGAAAAAAATTCTCTTGTGCCTCTGCTCATCCTTCCCATTTTAGGAACTTAAAGAAGCTTGAAATTTAGCCTTAACTATCAAAAATGGTAAACTGAATCCCAATTGCTCCATTTCAGGGTTTTCCTTCATAATTTGCTTCCCCAGCGTTCAGAATTTAAGCCCCACCAAACTGTGTGTGTGTGTGTGTGTGTGTGTGTGTGTGTGTGTGTGTTTTGAAATAGCAAAACAAAACATTTCCGTTTGGGGCTCAAAACATTTCCTGAATCAAATTGAATGATTTTGCACGCCCAACGAGAAAGCTGCTTTTGGGCTTGGAAACAAATCAATTTGAAAAATTGCACACAGCCCTATCAAAAATGGATAATTTAAAAAAAAAGTCGTCGTTTTAGGGGTTTGTTTTAAACCTCCTGGAGTGCACAGAGTTGGTGTGTAGAGTTGTTGTCTGCAGGCGGTCAGGCAGAAGAGCTGTGGTACCTTTATCCAGATGTTATGGTGGACTGTTTTGGAAGCAGAAATTCTACTAAAACTGAAATGGGGAAATTCTTTTTGGGAGGCTGTTGGCTGAGATGAAAGTTTGTGTTGTTTGTAAAATTAGAAAAACCCTCCCTCCCTCCCTCCCTCCCTCTCATTCCGATCTTCTCCCATTATTTCTTCCTCCTCCTCTCCTGCTCGGTCAGGGGGTTGGAATAGAAGTCCTCCAAGGTCCTTTCCGACTCAGTTATCCTGTTGTTGTGGTTAGTTCTAAAGTTGGTGTGTTTTTTATTCCCCCCCCCACCCCCAAGGAATTGTTGTGCCAAGACAAGTAGCTCAGTTGATAGGTCAAAAAATAATACATTGCATAAACTTAGAAAATGGGTAAATTCAAGAAGCAGGTGGAACGTCTTCAGCACAACCATAAATGGCCAAAGCTACCCCTTATCTTTTCATCCCCTGTGTCTCTCTGCAGCGATAGGATTCTGGCTCCTGGTTTCAAAAATATTTTTTCCCAGGGGCATTTTCAGATCAGACAACCTGGGCCATTGAAGAATTTCAGACTGCTGGCTCCTCTTTAATATTTATTTTATCACCTTTTTTGCTTTCTGTCTTCCCTGCAGGCAGATCAGGAGCGGTGCAGAGAAATTTCCTTACTCGATGACCTTTCATCGCGATGTCCGATCGTTCGGGGCAAATAACCAAGGGAAAGGATGGGAAAACCAAGTACAGCACACTCAGCCTGTTTGATAAATATAAAGGAAAGTCAGTAGAAACAGTTAGAAGTACAGGTGAGCCGTGTTGGCAAGGAGTGGCAACAAGGGATGTGTGTGTGTGTGTGTGTGTTTAAATCAGCCTTCTTTCGATAACATTTGCACCTGCCCATCTGGCTTTGGAAGGGAAGCTGGTTATGAGATGGATGGGGTACCACCCGGTGATCCCACATTCCCCCCCCCCCCAAATGCTTTTGGGTGCAACGGATCTGATTGGGTTGTGCTTGGGATGAAACGTTTATGTGTTTGTGAGGTGGACATATTCCTTCACTTATCAATGCAGGTAGTCTTCGACTTATGACCACAATTGATCATCCCCAAATTGCTGTGGCTAAGTGGGACATCTGTTAAGTGAGCTTTGCCCCATTTTGCAACCTTTCTTGCCACAGTCGCTAAGTGAATCACCTCAGCTCTTAAAATTAGATAGCGAATCTGCCGCAAAAGGGGATCATGCGATACACACACACCGGGATGTTGCAGCCGTCATAAATATGAGTCAGTTGCCAAGTGTCTGAAAAGTGAAAAACAATTTCAAATCATTTTTTTTTTTTTTAGTGCCGAACGGCCATGAAGCGAATGGCCGTCGGTTGAGGAGAGCCTGCAACTGAAAACGGCGTAACTGGGAGGGAGGTGCCTCACTCGGATGTCCGTTTATGGCCTAGATAGCAGTTGCTTGTTGCAATCCGTGCTGAGGATAATGGGTGGATTATTCCCTCTCTTTCTCTTGCTAGTTATTCCTAGACATGGCTTGCAGAGTCTCGGGAAAGTTGCTTCCGCGCGGCGCATGCCCCCTCCTGCCAACTTGCCAAGTTTGAAATCGGAGCATAAAGGAAACGACCCCAACATCATCATCGTGCCGAAGGACGGAACAGGATGGGCAAACAAGCAGGACCCTCCAGAGCAAAAGAGGTGAGCCGGCCGGCCGTCTTCACCTTCCTTCCTTTGGAAGGACCAACCTGTTGTGGCCGGTCAGCAGAGCTGGCAGCAGAGTCAGACAGTGGGGAGGTTGGGGAGGAAGATGGGCCAGTCCTGGAGTCTGGGGAAGGCTCTGGTGATGAGGGCTCTGTGTCGGAGGCAGAGGGCCGTATCCCATTTACCAGCTGCCTTCAGAGTCAGACATCAGAGAGGCAGAAGAACAGCTGGAGCCTGTTCCCAGTGTGCGCATGCGCACAGTTGCCAGACGAAGGGAAGAGCTAAAGAACAGGAAATATAAGCGGAGCGGAAGGGGAGTGGAGTTTGCAGGAGACAATTAGTTCGCTTCATTGGTTCCTGACTCTCCGAGGCTCCTGGCCAAGTTCTGCAGATTTTATGCCTGGCAGCCCTCCAAGCCAGATAAGGTCTGTGACCGTAAATCCTCCCTTGAAAGACTTTGCTGGAGGTGAACGAGCAGAATTCACAGTCCATTAATAAAAGGGGGTTTTGTCAGGGGAAGGAGTTTGCTTCATGCTCTTGGGAGGGCCTGGGTCGGGATGAGACACTTCAGGGATGACAGCAGCTGAATGTTATTGTGGTAGGTTATGGCCACAGAATCTTTCCCCCATTTTTTTCATTGTTTTATTAATTATTGCAAGTTTTAAGAAACGCGTACGCAAGGAGCATAGAAATGCAATACCACAAGTATAGAAAAGGTGTATAAAAGAAAAAAGAAAGGGAAAAAAAAAGTGATTACTTCCTTCATCCCAGCAAGTAAAGAGCATCTGAATAGTTGTTTGGTCATATTGATTCCACAAGTATAATGTTCAGAAGTGGTTTCCAAGGTGAAACAAAACTAATTGTTATTTCTTCCATAATCGAAGCAGTCAATGCATAGCTGACTCCCATCTACTTTTGCAGCCATTCATCCATTGTGGGACCCAACTCTTAATATTAACCCAACTCTTAATATTAAATTCTTAAGTATTAAACTCTTAATAGTAAGTCACAAGAAGAAGAAAAAGACATATACTGCAAGGAGTGTAAAAATGCAAAAAGTATTTAAAAGGTGTATAAAAGACAAGGAAAAGAAAGAAAATAACTTCCTCCTTCATCCCAGCAAGTAAAAACCATCTGAATAGTTTAGTCATATTTTTTCCACAAGCATAAAGTCCAGAAGCGGGTTCCAAGTGGAAACAAAATTATTAATTATATTTCTTTCCTTAATCGAAGCAGTCAATTTACAGCCGTCTCTGTTGACTCCCATCAACTTTTACAGCCATTCGTTTATTGTGGGCATAAATCCAACTTTTACCAAAAAATCTTTGTGAAATCAACCGGGATTTACAAAAACAAAACAAAAACTCACAGCAGGGACTCGGACAGCCACTTTCTCCTCCCTTTTGTCTCAGTTCCAGTTGCACAGCCGCACAGCCGCGGGAGTCGCTGCCGCAGCAGGATTCACAGAAATCTGTCTCCAATTTACAGAAACGGAACCTGTCAATCAGCCAGGAGGTGAGTAGGACAAAGAATGGGTGGTCAAGCTCAAAAAGACGGGCATTCGGATTCAAACGCTTGGCAACTGGCATGTACTTAGGACAGTTGCAGCATCCTGGGTTCATGCCATCTCCTTTGGAGACCACAAGCAACGTCAACGGGGGACGCTAGATTCACGTTACTCACTGGAGAACTGTAGTGATTCACTGAGCAAGAGAGGTTGTAAAATGGGACAACGCTCAGTGGAGCAACTGCTTTGCGATGGAAATTTTGAGGTCGTAAGTTGAGGACTGCCTGTAAACTTTTCTAAATTCTTCTGCAGAATACAAATTCAGCACTCGGTGGTGTAAAATCATGGGCGCAGCTGAATGGAAAGCCAGCCAGAGTAGAAGGTGGTAAGTATCCCCCACACTTGTGGACGGTTTATGCTCCGGCGGCTCCGTCTTTCCCATCCCAAGCGGGAAGGACGAGCTTTGTGGATGGCACCGGGCTGATCCCTGGCCTCAGTACAGACCTCTGCTACCGATATCAATCGTTTAAAGCATCTCTCTATATAAAAGCGAAATGCTACTCATGCGACATCACAAAATCTCCAGAACCGTAAAGCCTACGAATTTAAAACACGTGTTCCTCTTGATTTCCAAGTGCTGACTGAGAAAGGATTTTTCAAAACGATCGCCAGAGCTTTAGCATTTCTTATTATTAACACACTCTGGTGCTACTCCCCACCTGAAAACAACTCTGTTCCAACTGCCACTTGGGCATGGCAAGCGCATGACCCATCCAGGCCTGCGGGCTGGGAGTTTTGAGAGGCTTCTGTGGGGACAGCCTGGGGGAGAGAAGGGAAGAGGCCGACATTAATTTTCAAGCTGCAAGTGTCGATTTATCCAGCCCCAATCACATAGTTTCATAGCAGAGCATGGGCATACCGTTAGTCTGAAATATGTCTGTTTCATGGGGTTTTTTTTCCTAATGTCATTCAAACTTTCCCTCCTCCCCCCCCCCCCCCCCCAGGTTCAAGGGGCTCAAGCCGACTGTTATCCTTCTCTCCCGAGGATTTTCCAACGTTGAAAGCAGCTGGCGAGCAGGACAGGTCTGGCAAAGAAAAGGGCACCTTAGATCCGTCGTATGGGCCCGGACCAAGCCTCCGCCCCCAGAGTACGTACCTGGGACGCCCCCTCACCTCCTTGCCCCCCATGGGAAATGTCGTTTGTACAGAATGGGGTGGGTGGGAAGGAAGGAAGAGGTTGGCACGAGAGAGCCGAGGTGGCCCAATGGTTAGAGTGCAGCACTGCAGGCTACCCTGTTTCCCCGGATACTTAGCCCAATCGGGCCTTTGAGCACATGCGCTGAAATAAGCCCTCCCCGAAAATATTGCAACACAGCAGCAGCCATGAGGGGACCACGCTCGCCACCTCCTGCGCCTCACAAATAATAAGACCTTCCTGAAAATAAGGCCAACCGCTTATTTTGGGGGGGTCAAAAGAAAACAAGGCCCTGTCTTATTTTGGGGGAAACACGGTCCTTCAGCTGACTGCATTCCACTCATTCTCTTCTCCATCCCTTAAACATTTCTTTCTGGGACCCCGCAAAAAGGGGGGGGGGGAAGCAGCATCTTTAATTTTTAGCCTGCTGCTCCTTTTTTCTGTCATGGGGTGTCCTCGTCTTAATGCTCTTTCTAGTCCGGTGGAAAGGAGAAGAAAAAAGCCCTCTTAGAAGCCCCTTGAACAAAAGCTGATCTAAACCAAAATTCTTTTCTATCTTTAGCTCCCATGTGGGTTTGTTTAGGAATGTTTGGCATATGCCAGTTTAAAAAAAAAAAAATCCTTTGCCCTCCCTCCCTCCCTCTTTTTCCTTCCTTCCTTCCTTCCTTCCTTTTCCCTTCCTTTCGTCTTTCCTTCTTTTTCCTCTTTCCCATTCACTTCTCCCCTCCCCTCACTTCTTCCTTCCTCCCTCCCCCTCCCTCTTTTTCCTTCCTTCATTTTCCCTTCCTTCTCCTCACTTTTTTTCTCCTTCCTTTCCTTCCTTCTTTCTCTCTTCTTTCTTTCTTTCTTTTTCCTTCCTTCTCTTTCCTCCTTTCCCTTTTTTCTCCTCCTTTATCTCCTCCACCACCTCCTACTCTTCATATACCTTCCCCCTCCTCCTTCTTTTCATCCTAATTTATTTACTCCTTCCCTCTCTCATAAAAGCCTGAACCAGGAGATGAAGAGCAAGTAAGTAGAATAGAAATATTCAGAATTTTGAGAGCCCAATAGTCCTTTAATTTTGAAAGAATTTTCAAAATCATTTTTTTTTAAAACACACACCACCTCCTAACGTTGCCAATTATTTTGTCTCCCTTTCTCCTTTTCTTTCTTTCTTTCTTTCTTTCTTTCTTTCTTTCTTTCTTTCTTTCTTTCTTTCTTTCTTTCTTTCTTTTTTCCTTTCTTTTTCTTTCTTTCCCTTTCTTCTCATTCTTTTCTTTCTTTCTCTGTCTACTTTCTCTTTTTCTTCTTTTTTTCTCTTTTTTTTTCTTTCTTTCTCCCAGATGTCACAAGTTGGAGGGAAGGTGGTGGTAGAAACAGTACCTCAGCCACCTCTTTGTCCCCCTTCCCCACCGAACTGGGTACCAAGAGCTCCAGCACGGGTGAGGATGTTCCGACCTCAGCCAATGGGGCTGATCCCAAGGACCTTTCTCTCCGCCCGTCTCTCCCTGCTCGCAAAGGAGCATCACAGTTTATGGCAAACACGTACCAGCCACCCACATACCACGACATGCTTCCTGCCTTCGTAAGTACTTTTAACGCCTTCCAAATTTTACCTACTGCATTATAAGAGACTGTAAGCTGCTTGTGGGCTTTCTAAATACAGGCATCCCTCCACTTACTGTTGTGGCCCACCAGTGGCCAGCTGATGTGGCAGCAGATTCGGCCAGTGAGGAGGTTGGGGA